AACTTCTTCAGGGACTGAGTAAGTGGAGATTAAACTCGTCCTGTGCCTGATGATTGACGGCCCATGTCCTGGGTGTGTACTACACTAGACTTTAATGCCAGTGGGTAGAATTGAGAAGAAAGCCCCAGAGAGACTGGGAAGGGAAAGATGGGAGGACATAGCTGAAGCAAAATGGCAAAAAGGCACCAAGGATCTGCCTCACACGGCAGGTTACGATTGCTTACGTACTATATACAATTGTTCTTAAAATGTTTATAAATTAAGATCTCCTATAGTTCAGATTTTTTTTCTTCTGTGACTCTAGCTTTATGACAGGAGTATTATGGTAAGGTTGGAGGTGTCAACGTGGATATTTCAAACCTGCTGAGCCAGGGACCAACTGAGTCCCTGTTAGGCCTCTGTACATCTTCTAGATGGGGGAGGATGGTTCTTCAACTGGAAATTTGCAAAAATTTCAGAAATGCATTTATCTTCTTCAGAGGAGAAGGATGATTTTTTCTGTAAAGGGTTCATAGACCAGCAAAAGCCAAGAACCTGCTGCTTTGTGCTTTCCCCATCGGAGCTGAAGTAGTCTCACGCACCCCGAGAAACAGCCCATGCTCAGTACGTATCTGAAATATTTAGTCACGGCAGAATATTGTGACTCAATAAAACCGTGCTTTTCTTCTCACGTTCTTATTTCTCACCATGAAAACTTTTCCTGGACCGATGTAAACTGAACATTTAATCATGTGAAGCACTTCCCCTTGTAAAACAGTATGCGTAAAGCATTTAATGTTTGTTATTTTGGGGACTGGGTATTGGAAAACAAAATAAATGAGTTAAAAAATGAATAACAAAGCAGCACTTTTGGGTCTTTTCAAGGGAGTGCTACATTTCCCAGTGGGTTTTCCGCGTCATTAGAGGGAATGAGCGCAAGCACCCTCTCTTAGTTGATCTATGTGGTCAAGGAAATTTTCACTTTGCATGGGTTTACCCAACACATTATGTGCTAGAAGTGATCTTTGTTGGATACAAAGAAAGGGGGAGGAGGAGCTTTGGAGTGGGAGTGGAAGGAGATGATGAATTTTGGGGAGTTATCTATGTTTGCCTGGCCTCGCATTGGTAGCACACATATCATGACAACCCCATAATCTCCTTGTGTAAGAAGGAGAAATGCAAGGCTTCAGACTGTTAGCAACTCACAGAAGTTCCAAGAGCTACCCAAACTGGCTCTTTTTTTTTGCATATAAAACTTTTTTAAAATTAGTTATACTTCATTCACTTTGTATCCCCCAGAAGCCTCTCCTTCCTCCCCTCCCAATCCCACCCTCCCTCCCCCTTCTTCACGCATGCCCCTCCCCAAGACCACTGATAGGGGAGGTCCTCCTCTCCTTCCTTCTGATCTTAGTCTATCAGATCATATCAGGAGTGGCTGCATTGTTATCTTCTGTGGCCTGGTAAGGCTGCTCTCCCCTCAGGGGGAGATGATCAAAGAGCAGGCCAATCAGTTCATGTCAGAGGCAGTTCCTGTTCCCATTACTATGTAACCCACTTGGACACTAAACTGCCATAGACTACATCTGTGCAGGGGTTCTAGGTTATCTCCATGCATGGTACTTGGTTGGAGTATGAGTCTCTGGAAAGACCCCTGTGTTCAGATTTTCTGGTTCTGTTGTTCTCCTTGTGGGGTTCCTGTACTCTCCAGATCTTACTATTTTCCACTTCTTACATAAGATTCCATGCACTCTGCCCAACAGTTGGCCATAATTCTCAGCGTCTGCTTTGATAGTCTGCAGGGCAGAGTCTTTCAGAGGCCCTCTGTGGCAGGTTCCTAGGTTGTTTCCTGTTTTCTTCTTCTTCTGATGTCCATCCTCTTTGCCTTTATGGATGGGGATTGAGCATTTTAGTCAGGGTCCTCTCTCTTGATTAGTGTCTTTAGATGTACAGATTTTAGTAGGTTTATCCTATGTTATATGTCTATATGAGTGAGTATATACCGTGTGTGTCTTTCTGCTTCTGGGACAGCTCACTCAGGATAATCCTTTCCAGGTCCCACCATTTACCTGCAAATTTCATGATTTCCTTATTTTTCATTGCAGAGTAAACTCCATTGTGTAGATGTACCACAATTTCTGCATCCATTCTCCAGTTGAGGGGCATCTGAGCTGTTTCCAGCTTCTGGATATTACAAATAAGGCTGCTACAAACATGGTTGAGCAAATGTCCTTATTGTGTACTTGAGCCTCTTTTGGATATATGCCTAGGAGTGGTATGGCTGGATCTTGAGGAAGAGCTATTACTAGTTGTCAAATTGATTTCCAGAGTGGTTGTACAAGTTTACAATCCCACCAGCAGTGTAGGAGTGTTCCCCTTTCTCCACAACCTCTCCAACATGGTTCTTAATCTTTGTCCTCCATCCCTTGTGTGCCCTTTGCAAAGGTACCTTCTGAAGGGCATTTCAGATGCCACAGTGTTTACATAGGAGGTGGTCAGTGTCTCCGGATGAACCAAAACCCTACTCATGCTCTCTGAAGAGCTGGAAAAAGCATCAGAGAGTGGAATGTTGAGATAATTGTCATCTCTTTCACAGTGAGTGACCTCTGTGCCCTCTGTAGATAGTCTTTGTAAAAGACCAGAAGACACAGTCTACAAGAAAACTGTCTAGCCTTCTATATCTTACTGCAAAAACAAGAGTAATATGATGGTAAAACTATCTCTCTGCATGATCTGAGTTTTTCACCTCTGCATTTCTGTCTCTAATTAAGCATGCATTGTCTCTGGCTACCTCTCATGAGTCCTGTGGATGCAGTAAGGAAGCTTGATAATTAGTTTTATAAACCAGGCGAGCTATGCATCTAAGTCTTGGATACTATAGAATTTAATCTGAAACAAAGATGATCATAAAACCATAGAGGTGATTCACTGTTTTCTCCTGATTATTAAATTAATGCCATTCTATTTTAGGAAAAACAATAACTAATATGTTTAGAAAGAAGGAAAACCATCATTGCTTTTCTAACGTAAAATAAACATTATCAATATTTAATGAATCCCGCAACTGAAGTTATATATAGTTCAGCATTGTATCTTACTTAAGGCATCTATTTTCACAGAAACATTCTATTTAATTTTAAAATTAACATGACTTTAAAAAAAAGAGAGACTGAGTGGCTGAGATGTGCTATCCTGTATGATATTCTCTCCCGTCCCTCACGGGTACCAGTAGGGGCAACCATAGTCTCATATGACAACATCTCTTTGATTGTAGCTGACTCAGAAGCAGACACTGCTGAAATTACTGGGGTGCTTTCTTAGTTTTCCATAATGATTTGATTAGCACTTTTGGGGGCTCCAGTAAGCAACTGGTTGGTTCTGTTGCTTTGGCATTATACCATGGTAAGTGTGAGGCAGGGCAAAACCAGTCAGTTTGTGTCCCGGCAGCAAGAGAGGAAGATAAGAGAGCCTGGGTCGCACAGTCTCCTTGGAGGAGATACCCAGAATGACCCAAAGGAGTCCTTCTAAACCCTGTTTCTTAAAGATATCTCCATTGTCTGCACGTGGTCTTTGGTGCACTTTCAAGGTCCAGTTCGAGTGTGTGTGTTTGCATATGTGCGTACGCGCTTGCATGTGTGTGTGTAAAATCTGTGTTTTGCGTATGAGAAGATACCTGACTGTGACTTACTTCACTTAGCACGGTTTTCTTCTGCTCAATCTATTTTCACACAAATGAGGTCTCCGTCTTCATTCTCTCCATCCCTTCACCTGCCGATGGGCACCTAGGATTAGATTACTTCCATATTGTGGCTACCCTGGACAGTACCACTATAAACACAAGAACGTGCCTCTGGTGTGTGCTGACTGGTGCATGTGTGTGTGTATACATATATGTATGTATATATATATATATATATATATATATATATATATATACACATACATTTATTTTTTTTTTCATCTACGCAGGGGTGGTGTTGCTAGACCCGAGGTGTTTGTCTTTTAGATGTTTTGAGGACGGTCTGTGTTGAGCATTTCCCCAAAGCAGGAGCTGTGCTTGCTCTTAGATGCAACTTAGAAACCACAAGCTCCCACTTAGCTTCCATCCTTTCTTTGCTGCTTTGGGCAGCATGGGTAGGTCTTTGTATGGTGGAAAGGCAGCGTGCACCTTCCCTCCGCTGAGGCTGACTGCCAGACGCTGCACAGACAGGCCCTCTCGGTTCTGTCTTGTTCACCACTTTCCATTATTTTTCCCTAATGCGTACTTTTCTGTCGGCACTTTTCCCCCTCATTTTAAAAAAATTCTCCTCACTCTGAACTTTGCTCACAATCTCTGTTTGTTGTTATTTTATTTTCCTAGATCCTGTGAATTACTGTAATAAATATGTGAAAATAATAGGGCTTAATTAAGCTTCTGGTAAAATACCTCACATCTAGCCGAGAAACGGAAAACAAGCCACCACTGTTCCCATCCTTAGCCTTAGTTGGAAGGGTTTCTTGGCTTATAGGCGTCTGAGAACATTGACATTTCAGTTCATAAAAAGGATGAATATAATAATAATAATAATAATAATAATAATAATAATGATGATGATGATGATGATGATGATGATAATAATGGTAATAATAACAATTTATAAAGAAGTGATTTGAAATTTCAGAAGCAGTTAGTGAAGTTGCCCTGGAAATTCTTTGTTTCCTCTTTGGCTGTTGTGTTTCTCTCCTGACAGCGGTGAGTTCTGTCTGTGGACACCTCACCATCCAAAAGAGGGTGAGATGCATTCAGAAAGGAAGCTGGAATTAGGAAAAGGCTTTTAAGTCAGTCATTGATGCACCCATCGTACTGCTGTTAATTCAGCGGAAGATCTCCAGCTATTGATTCCTCCAGGAACATATTACTTCCATTACATGAGCAAATGAACTGATTTATTTTGACAGTTTTAGTAGACTAAAATAATATTCCATAACAGTTTCCAGATTTAGAGACCCCGAATGGTGGCATTTTAAGACTCTTAGAAATGTACGCATCTCCTGCCCATTGCGGGTGTAACGGTTGTGTCACGAGTGTGTCAGTAGGTAGCAGAGAGGAGAGAGGCTCTGTCCACACTTAATGTCCTGACCTGTGAATCTCTGAATGATTAGTAGCGTACCACTCCCTGAGAAAGCGGGCCGAGATGACCCCAGTCCTGTTCAGGGGGCCTGGCACCCGCTGCTCCTCAGCAGCTGCAGCACTTGGAAGAGGGGCCCAGCACCTGACTGGGGCAGCTTAGTAGAGCTGGCCCTGGAAGTGGGGGTTACAGGTGAGGTAACCTGAGGGCGTGAGCACGAGAGAGCTGACTCTGCCACTGTCTGCTGTGTGGTGACGGTGATGGCATTGGCGAGGCGGGGATCCCTTTCTCTCCATTTTGCCCTCACCAGCTGTGGCAGGCCACCCCAAGGGGGTGAAAGCAGGAGAGGTAGTGGTGGAGGTGGGTGGGCCAGCCAGGGCAGGGCAGGAGGGCTCGCCCTGGTGGTGTGGGTGTGGGAACACTGGCAGGTTAATCTGCTCAGATACCTCTCAGTCCCAGATGCAGGGCTCTGAATTGGCCCACCCCAATCTACCCCATTGAGGGGCTGCTGGGGTTCATAAAGGGGCTGGTCCTACAGATCCCAAACTACAGCATCTTCATGACACAGGACAACAACAGGGTATCCAAGAGGAGTCCCGGTGAAGATCCAGTATTGATAGTGTAACAAAAGCTAGAAGCCTCTCACCAGACCATTGCAGTGAACATTTGCAAGCAAAGAAGTGTGGACAACAGGGTATATACCGTGGCACATTTCAGCTTCCATGAGAATTTTTCCCTCTGTTGGGGAGATGTTTCAGTAGTGGAAGTAGATACAAGAAGAGGGGGAAATGAGCGGGACTGGGTGCATGATGTGAAATTCACAAACAACCAATAAAATGTTTAAAATACATACACATCTGTTCAAAAGTTGTTCAAAGGGCTGTTCAAAGGATGTCTGTGTTGAAATGAAAATATACACCACCAGAGGGCACTGTGAGCAAACTTTTGTCCCTGCTGTAGCTGTATTGGCGATAGATCCTTCCAGAATTTAGTCAATTACTTGTAAGTGTACAGATTGAAATAATTATTTACAAAGTACTTCAGAACTCAGAATTCATTTTTCTTTTTTTTATTGAATTCTATTCTATTTTCTTTTCTTTATTTTATTTTTTTCTTATCAGTTACATTTTATTAACTCTGTATCCCAACCGTGTCCCACTCCCTCATTCCCTCCCAATCCCACCCTCCCTCCCTCATCTCCACCGTGCCCCTTTCAAGTCCACTGATGGGGGGGGACCTCCTCCCCATTCATCCGATACTGTTTTATCAGGTATCTTCAGGACTGGCTGCGAATCCCTCCTCTGTTGCCTAACCTTGGCCTGCTCCTCCCTTGGGGGGTGGGGAGGCCAAAGAGCCAGTCATTGAGTTCCTGTTAGAAATAGTCCTTGTTCCCCTCACTATGGGAAACCAATTGGTTACTGAGCTACCACGGGCTACATCTGAGCAGAAGTTCTAGGTTATATCCATACATGGTCCTTGGTTGAATGTCAGTCTCAGAAAAGACCCTGTGCCCAGATATATTTGGTCCTTGTGGAGCTCCTATCCTTTCCCCATCATACTAACTCCCTTTCTTTCATATGATTCCCTGTACTCTGCCGAAGGTTTGGTCGTGAGTCTTTGCTTTGAAAACACTGCTAGTTAGAGTCTTTCAGATGCGCTCAGTAGACTCCTGTCATACGTTCAATGCACATCCCATCTGTCTTTCTAAATGAGGATTGATCATCTTACCCCATGTCCGCTCTCTTGATTATCTTTTTTAGGTGTATAGATTTCATTATGTTTATCATATCTTATAGGTCTATATAAGTGAGTATATACCGTGTTTGTCTTTGTCCTTCTGGGATATTTCACTCAGAATGATCTTTTCTAGATCCCACCATTTGCCTGCAGATTTCATGATTTCCTCCTTTTTGATTGCTGAGTAGTACTCCATTGTGTAAAAATACCACAATTTCTGTACCCATTCCTTCATTGATGGACATCTGGGTTGTTTCCAGGTTCTGGCTATTACAAATAAAACTGCTATAAACATGGTTGAGCAAGTATCCCTTTTGTATACTTGAGCAAAGTTTGGGTATATACCTAGCAGTGGTATAGCTGGGTCTTGAGGAAGCACTATTCCTAATTGTCTTAGAAAGTGCCAGATAGATTTCTAGAGTGGTTGTACCAGTTTACATTCCCACCAGCAGTGGAGGAGGGTTCCCCTTTCTCCACAACCTCTCCAGCATGTGTTGTCACTTGAGTTTTTCAATCTTGGCCATTCTGATGGGTGTAAGGTGAAATCTCAGGGTCGTTTTGATTTGCATTTCCCTGATGGCTAATGAGGTTGAGCATTTCTTTAAGTGTTTCTCTGCCATTCAATATTCCTCTGTCAAGAATTCTCTGTTTAGCTCTGTTCCCCATTTTTTATTGGATTACTTGGTTTGCTGCTTTTCAGCTTCTTTAGTTCTTTGTATATACTGGATATTAGTCCTCTGTCAGATAAAGGGTTAGTGAAGATTCTTTCCCAATCTGTAGGCAGGCGTTTTGTTTTGATGACAGTGTCCTTTGCTTTACAGAAGCTTTTCAGTTTCATGAGGCCCCATTAATTGATTGTTGCTCTTAGAGCCTGTGCTGTTGGTGTTCTGTTCAGGAAGTTGTCTCCTGTGCCGATGAGTTCTAGGATGTTCCCCACTTTTTCTTCTAACAGATTTAGAGTATCTGGTTTTATGTTGAGGTCTTTGATCCACTTGGACTTTAGTTTTGTGCAGGGTGATAAATATGGATCTATTTTCTGCATGTAGACATCCAGTTGGACCAGCACCACTTGTTGAAGATGCTGTCTTTTTTCCATTGAATGGTTTTGGCTTCTTTGTCAAAACTCGAGTATTCATAGGTGTGTGGGTTTATTTCTGGGTCTTCTGTGCGGTTCCCTTGATTCTCCTTTCTATTTTTATGCCAACACCATGCAGTTTTTATTACTATTGCTCTATAGTACAACTTGAGATCGGGGATGGAGATACCTCCAGATGATCTGTTGTTGTACAGGATTGTTTTGGAGATTCTGGGTTTTTTGTTTCTCCATATGAAGCTGAGAATCTTTTTTTCAAGGTCTGTAAATAATTGAGTTGGTATTTTGATGGGAATTGCATTGAATCTGTAGATTGCTTTTGGCAGGATGGCCATTTTCACAATGTTAATCCTACCAATCCATGAGCACGGGAGATCTTTCCATCTTCTGAGATCTTCTTCAATTTTTTCTTCAGGGACTTGAAGTTTTTCTCAAACAGGTCTTTCACTTGCTTGGTTAGTGTCACCCCAAGGTACTTTATGTTATTAGTGGCTATTGTGAAGGGTGTTGTTTCCCTAATTTCTTTCTCAGCCCTTTTGTCTTTGGTATACAGGAGGGCTTCTGATTTTTTGAGTTGATTTTGTATCCTGCCACTTTCCTGAAGGTGTTTATCAGCTGGAGGAGTTCTCTGGTTGAATTTTTGGGGTCGCTCATATATACTATCATATCATCTGCAAATAGTGACACTTTGACCTCTTCCTTTCCGATTTGTATCCCCTTGATCTCCTTTAGTTGTCTTATTGCTCTGGCTAGGACTTCAAATACTATGTTGAAGAGGTATGGAGAGAGTGGGCAGCCTTGTCTTGTCCCTGATTTCAGTGGGATTGATTTAAGTTTCTCTCCATTGAGTTTGATGTTGGCTATAGGCTTGCTGTATATTGCCTTTGCTATGTTTAGATATGTGCCTTGTATCCCTGATCTCTCCAAGACTTTAAACATGAATGGGTGTTGGACTTTGTCAAATGCTTTTTCAGCATCTAAGGAGATGATCATGTGGTTTTTCTCCTTCAGTTTGTTTATGTGGTGGATTACATTGATGGATTTCCGTATGTTGAACCACCCTTGCATGCCTGGGATGAAGCCTACTTGGTCATGGTGGATGATATCTTTGATGTGTTCTTGGATTCGGTTTGCAAGTATTTTATTGAGTATTTTTTGCATCAATGTTCATAAGAGAGATAGGTCTGTAGTTTTCTTTTTTTGTTGGGTCTTTGTGTGGTTTAGGTATCAGGGTGACTGTCGCTTCATAGAATGAGTTTGGTAATGTACCTTCTGTTTCTATTTTGTGGAATAGTTTGAGGAGAATTGGTGTGAGCAGTTCTTTGAAGGTCTGGTAGAATTCCACGCTGAAACCATCTGGCCCAGGGCTTTTTTTGGAGGGGAGACTGTGAATGACTGCTTCAATTTCCTTGGGGGATATAGGGCTATTCATTCTTTCTACCTGATCTGTAAGTGTTTTTATTTCCCTATTTGTTTTCTGTCTAGTTGATCTGTCCCTTGGTGAGAGTGGAGTGTTGAAGTCTCCCACTATTAAGGTATTAGGATCAATGTGTGATTTAAGCTTTAATACTGTTTCACTTACGAATGTAGGTGCTCTTGTATTTGGGGCATAGATATTCAAAATTGTGATGTCCTCTTGGTGGATTTTTCCTTTGATGAGAATATAGTGGCCGTCCTTATCTGTTTTGGTTAACTTGGGTTGAAAGTCTATTTTATTAGATATTAGGATGGCTACTCCAGCTTGTTTTCTGGAACCATTTGCTTGAAAAACATTTTTCTAGCCCTTTACTCTGAGGTAGTATTTATCTTTGTTGCATAGGTGTGTTTCTTGGAAGCAACAGAATGTTGGATCCTGTTTCTGCAACCATTCTGTTAGTCTGTGTCTTTTTATTGGGGAGTTGAGTCCGTTGATGTTGATAGATACGAGTGACCAACAATCGTTACTGACTTTTGATGTGGGGTTGGTGGTGTCACTGAGTTTCACTTCTTGTATTCTTTTGATTTTTTTTGTTGTGTAGTTATTTATTTCCTCTGTTTCCTTAAATGTAGTTGTTTTCTTGGTTTGGAGTTTCCCTTCTAGTAACTTCTGTAGAGCTGGGTTACTATGTAGATGTTTTTTAAATTTGGTTTTGTCATGGAATATTTTGAATTCTCCGTCTATGTTGATTGAAAGTTTTGCTGGGTATAGTAATCTGGGTTGGAATCTGTGGTCCCTT